TTTTTAATTGAATTATCTTTCACACAGATCACATCCGCCTCAAAAAAAAAAAAAAAAAAAAAGGAAAAAAGGAGATGTAGAAGTGACAAAAAGTATTTGGTGAGGTAGGGGTAAGACTAAGGTGAGTAATTTTCACTTAGTTACTTATCTTTTTTTTTTTTTTGAGACGGAGTCTTGCTCCATGGCTCAAGTTAGAGTGCAGTGGCATGATCTCAGCTCACTGCAACCTCCTGTCTCAGCCTCCCTAGTAGTTGGGATTACAGGTGCCTGCCACCACACCTGGCTAATTTTTGCATTTTCAGTAGCGACGGGGTTCCTCTCCTTGTTGGGGTTGTCTCAGGCTGGTCTCAAACTCCTGACCTCAGGTGATCCACCCACCTCGGCCTCCCAAAGTGCCTGGATTACAGGCGTGAGCCACCTTGCCCGCCACTTATCTTCTATGATTTTCAGATTAAGATTTCTTATTTTTTTTTACATTGATAGGACATTTTTCTGGGCTGTTAGGGGTTGCTTTCTCCACTTTTCAGGCTTTGACTTGAGTGTAATGTATCCAGGAGTTGATTTCTATAACAGATATAATTTAAACTGTAGAAAATAATAAAAATTGAAAAAATTAGGCAAGACTAGAATGTAACAACAGGTGTGCTATAGTTTTTGTTTTTGTTTTTGTTTTTACTATAAGTTCTAGGGTACATGTGCACAACGTGCGGGTTTGTTACATATGTATACATATGCCATGTTGGTGTGCTGCACCCATTAACTAGTCATTTACATGAGGTATGTCTCCTAATGCTATCCCTTCCCCTGCCCCCCAGGTGCGCTATGGTTTTTTGTTTTTGTTTTTGTTTTTTTTGAGATGGAGTCTCACACTTTAGCCCAGGCTGGAGTGCAGTGGTGCGATCTCGGCTCACTGGAAGCTCCGCCTCCCGGGTTCACACCATTCTCCTGCCTCAGCCTCCCGAGTAGCTGGGACTACAGGCGCCCGCCACCACGCCCAGCTAATTTTTTG